AGAGAGAGAGAGAGAGAGAGAGAGAGAGAGAGAGAGAGAGAGAGAGAGAGAGAGAGAGAGTTGTGTGTCCATAAGAAGTGCTTATTGGGAAAGCTAAGTTGAAGAGACAAGTTAAAAATAGACAGAAACTGATTTCACAAAGGTCTCACTGGATAATTTTAATAAAACAAGAAGTTCAGATAATTGGGAGCTTTGTTGTTATGAAGCTCTTTAAAACCAGAGTGCTGAAGCTAGCACCTCAATAAACTCCTAAACTTCACTCATCCAGAGTTTAGGAGCCTCTATCATGCGGAACATAGCTGCTCTGCAGAACTGAAGCTCCACATGGGAGGCATGCTCCAGTCAGACAGTTAATAGCCCCAGGGAACATAACCAAATTTTGGTCAAACCTAGGGTTTCAGTTAATTGCGGTTGGAATATAATAGTGCATCTGTGAAAGAAAGTCAGTGAAATCTTAGGCACTTGTAGCTACCAGCTAGTCATATTAACGCAGAGGTATAGATGGTAAACCTTGAAGTGTACCAGGAAAGTACTGCTTGCAGATACCAGCATGAAGAAATTTTCATGGCAGACATCACTCCAGAGGATAAACTAAGTTGCCAAAGCATGAATCCAGGAGCTTAAAACACAAACTGTACATCTGCTGCCACAAAGAGAAGGGCAACTATCAGCTTCTGGCTCATCTAGCTACAGCCCTACCATTGTGGGAGGGCCTGTCCAGACAGGGACATTCCACCAGCAGCTGCTGCCAATCACTCAGCTTCCTCACCCCACCCACGAAAGGGTATTAATAAAGGTGAGCTATAAAACCTGCTGTCCACAATGCAAGTTACTACTGCTCCTCTTACCTCTAGCCACATTCTTGCCTAACGGATGACATCAGTGAAATGAGTCATAAAACGTCTTCCTGTGCCAGCCGCTGCTATACCTGGCTCCAGCTATACCTGTACACTTTCCCATCCTTGCCCAAGGCATGAACCCCACTCTCCTCCATCTCATTATTACAAACTTTCACAGTCTGTTTGGTTTATTCCTTCTCTGACAAAAGTCTTATTTTCAGACATCTGTTTTGTTTAAACTGGAGGACATATTGGACTGGCTTTTCATTAGCCAATGTTTCTTTACAGTTCAGGTAATCATATATGTTTATTTTTATATATAAATACTGAATTTCTCTACATAGTCCATGTGCTTTATTATTATTTTTGTTTGTATTATAATAGTGTCTGGAGGCCCCTACCATAATAAGGGCCCCATTGTGCTGAGCATACAATACATAGAGCCCTGGCTGGTAGAGCAATTAAGGCTAGGAAATGGTGGTAATGGAGAGGAAGAAATTGGGGGTTGTACCCCTTACTACTATTTCTCTTTGTCCTCTAATTTGCGACATCCTAACTTTACTAAGGAAATCAATCTCAGGAAGAAGGGACTCTGCTGAGCTACCTAGCCATTTGAAATTATATGTTTTTATCTCCCCAGGTAGGGCTACAGTCAGGGACAGCAGGAGAGAAATAGGACTCCCCACTCCTCTGCTAAAAGCAGAGAGAGATAACTCCCAGATTCAATACATTTTAACCACTGTCCTCAGGTTGTAAACTTTGCTGACACCTGTCATGAGGCCTTGCAAATGGATGCTAATGAGACCACAGAAGTTGAGATTCATTAAAAGAAAGAGGTTTCTAATGCGATCAGGGAAATATTGTTACAGTAGATACTGTACATTCTTGAGATTAATATTAAGAGTGAGCTGGGGAGCAGTCAGAGCTAGAGTTTTGATTTAAGACTATCAATAACTAAGATTGTTGGCATCCAGGTGACTATGTTTTTATATAGTCTGTCTACATAAATATATAATGGCTGTTTCACCCCTTTTTAAATCATGGGATATGTCTCTCTGAATATTTTAACACACCTGGTCATATACTAGTACTATATTATCATTAATTATTATTTGTATTGTATTTGCTTGATTGCTCACTGAGAGAAATTATACATGTAATTGCCATAGGTGGCACACAAGTCTTTCCTTTAGGGAAGACTATGGAATGCCAAAAGCTCCCTAGAAGTGTGTGTGGTGGGGGGGGGGACGGGGGGGGACTCCAGCACCCGGACCGGCGGCCCCACCTCCTCGTGA